AAAAAAAAAAAAAAAAAAAAAAAAAAAAAAAAAAAAAAAAAAGGAAAAAATTAAAAAAAAAGCGCCCACAACAAAAACACCCTAAAGGGTTGTAATAAAACCCCAAATACATTAAAACCAATAAAGGTTGGGGGGATAAATTAAAAGAAAATAGTTTTATTGTCAGGAAATTGATTCCAGGGACATATACATTTTCTTTGGTCAGGTAAGGGTTGATCTTGGTGGAACCTTCTGTCTGAAAAGTTACAGTGAGATAGTCTCCATTGGTGAGGGTAGGAAGTCATTTTTTTTATATGTCTGAGTTGTGTTTGTAGATCTCTCAAACTGCTGTTCATCTCTTAGTCTTCAGTGAAGTTGTACAGCCCTTTCAGGAGCCTCTCCCTAGGGCTCCTGAGCATGGAAATCCCAGCTCAGTAACCAAGCAAATGTGGAAGTAACAAAAAGCTTGAGATAATGCAAGATCTTCCCTGATGAACTCTGAGAAACTCTGGGTTATCTGCAAAAGGGAGAGATTTGATGGGCACCCTCAGTCCTCACTGCCCTCAGATGTTTATTACTGTGAATCTTCCTTCAGGTTATGGTCGTTGTCTCTACTCCTCCACACTTTGGTTCCTTGCATGGAGCCAGTGTACACACTGTACATTGTGAATGTTGTTGTTGCCATTTTTAATATTTTCTTGCTTTATTTCTGTGTTGCAGATGTGGATGAATGCGCTTCAGATTCTCACCAGTGTAATCCCACCCAGATCTGCATAAATACTGAGGGGGGCTATACCTGTTCCTGCACTGAAGGCTACTGGCTGTTAGAAGGCCAGTGTTTAGGTAAATCCTTGTGTGATATGGTATTTTAGCATCTGTGAACATGTGGATCTCTGAAATAATGTCACTAAGCATTTCTGTCAAGTACACAGTTAAACCTTCAGCTATGTGGACACTGTCTTCTGTCTTTGTAAGTGCCAATGGTATGCTTGGCAGAGAGACTCCCTTTTGGCACAAAAATGTAGATGTAAATGCCATCTGATTAGCATCCATGTAATAGGTGGGATTTTCATATTCCCAGTCTGAAGGATTCCCTTTCATGTAAGATCAATCACAAGTACATATACAAAAATATTTTTTCCTAAACAGAGCTGTTCTTTCCTCACTGTGACAGTGGGGACCCAAAGGGATCTGTATTTGATACCAAGAAATAGAACTGAGAGTAAATCCCTAGAATCAACCAGTTCTTTCACTTGGAGGTCAGAAAAAAATTACCTCTGAACTGGGTGCTGTTTCAGTAGCTTCCAAGAAGTTTTATTTCAATTTTATTATTTTCCTTGCAGCAATGTCCTGTTCATCCTTTTATCTCAGTCCTATTGAAGAAAACAATGCTCAACAAACAGCACAAGAAAACCTTCCATCTCCCCTCTCCTCCAGCCCATTCCCCACACTTGATATGCCATGGGGCTGATGATGTAGATGTTAATTTTAGGTAAAAAGATAAGACCTAGGAAATAGGATACAACTTTTTTAAAGAGAAGTTTGCTCATTATTATTTTTTTCCTCTAAATAATTTTTCTCTAAATATTTTCAAACAGCTGGCTGTTTGCTGCCAGCTCGGCAGAGCTGAACTGTCCCGTCACAACACCTCCACTGGAAGGAGAATGGGCTTTTCCTGCCCATTCATATCTGGACCATCTCCAGTTATTTTCCAGCTTTCTCCTCCCAAGTACCAATTCAGTGAAGGACTCACTCATGACTGCTTTCCCAACTACTGCAAACAGCTGCTCTGTAATTCACCTGGCAGGGACAGAGCTGAGCCCTGTCCAAGCTGCGGTCTGTGCAGCCATAGCCACTTCAGGGAGTCACTGTCTTGTAGATCCCCTGGAGTGTGAAGTCTCCAAGGCCCCTGCTTCTTAATCTCTGATAAATCAACTTCTCTTGGGAGGAAAAAAGCTTGTGCTGGAGGTTGTACAGCCGTATGTGATGGGGGGGATGAGGGAGAGCAGGGAGGGGGGTTCTGCTCTGCGTCACCTTTTCGGTTACCCACTTACTTCTTCCAGTTACAGGCCAAATGACAGGGTTTTGTGTGGCATTCAGGATTTGGGCATGGATTTAAAACACCCTGCTGCTTGATACCAGAGAACTGAAATGACTGCATTGCTGAAATGATTTATCAAAATTATTATAGGCAATAACATCCCAGTATTACCCAACTCAGCAATCATGGGGTGGGTTATTACAAGGCAATGCAAAGAGTGAAAAGCGAATTGTGTTTAGAGTTGCTATATTTTTCCCTAAGTGTAAAAAAATCTCAGTTTTCCATACTTTCCACTGGCTTTGGAGAAGTGATTTTTGCTATCATAAAACAGTAAAAGAAAATATACTGTAATCAGAGGGCTGAGTTGGGTTTTAGAGACAGGTTTTTTTGATGCACTGTTAGTAAACCACAGTTACAGAACCCTACACTTCTATCTGCTGCAATTATCCCTGTAAAGTTTACACAGATGAGCCAGTACAACCATATCCACTTGATACATCCACAAGAAGAAGCCCAGTAAAAGTCATTATCTCCAAAATGTAGCACTCTTGAGATTACAGTCCTGCAAAAGACAAAGCATGTATCTAAAGTAATGCATTGTGTCAGTGAAATGAGGTATTAATTTACTTAAAACACATGTCACTTTTCTCAGGATTTGGGCCAAGCCTACTGCTGGTGTACTCACCGTGGCTCACCCAGCCTTTAGGGTATGTTGTTACCTGACTGGAGATAATGCACTGGAGTTTCTACTGCACAAACTTGGCTTCAAAGCTTTGAGAGCAGCCATTTAAAAAAATCTCCATAAATCAAAGGCCAGTTGATACTAACAGAAATGTAAACCTTGGAAAGGACAACTACTCCAGGTGTTTCATTTCAGTTCTTAGTCATGGGGCAAGATTCTAACACTTACCATCTTACATGTCTTACAGCATTTTCTTGTGCTTGTGAGTTGCATGCATTGCTAATGCTGCAATTCAGCCCAAGCTGCTATTTTGGCATTAAATTAACTGTTTACACAGTCTATAATTTGTCAGTTAAAAATCCATATAAAATGTGAATGTGACTATTAGGGAAAAAAGCTTATAAAGAATATCCTCACTATAAATAGAAGCCTTTAGTAACAAACACTTCTTTTCTAGTGAGTAGCTTTGGTATATGTGGAGCAAAAAAGGTTTTTATCTTGATTCTGGCAAAATTTCATTGCAATTTTGGCTGTGCTTGTGCTGGTGGGCTGTGCCAGCAATCAAGTATGCTTTAAGGTAGCTGCTTAAAGGAACAGACTGGGCTTCCTGATTCACATTAAGCTGAAGATTACAGCAATGACTGTCAGTTCATCAGACATACTGATAGATGTCAGATGTGAATAAAAATATATATTCTACTGGTGAGAAATGTATCTTAATATAACTCCATATCTGAAGACCTGGAAGTTCGGCTCTTACATCCATAACCAGTATGCTGGGTTGTTTCTGTGTTATTGGTACTGTTAACTCAGTGGTTTTGCTGCTTTGTATCTGCATGTGAAAATGCAGATGTATCATGCATGAAAATGCAGACCACTCTACTTCTCATGCTTGCCCTCTGCAGATATAGATGAATGTCGCTACGGCTACTGCCAGCAGCTGTGCGCCAACGTGCCCGGCTCCTACTCCTGCACCTGCAACCCAGGCTTCACCCTCAATGACGATGGAAGATCGTGCCAAGGTATGTGTGTGGTAAACCGTGACTGAAGGCTTTGGTCCCAATTCAGCAACACCCTTAAAATTTAGTTCTTAGAACACAAGTAATATTCCCATTGTTGCTTTTGAAAACGTTCGTAGGTTTGTCAGACAGATATTTCTGTAATTTCGCAGTACCTTGAAGTGGTACAGGCGCAACATGACGGGTGTATCGGGAGAAATATGCACAGAGGCCCAAGCGTCAATTCACTCAACTCGCTGAAACTGACAAGAGTTTAGGCACTGAATTTACTATTAAAATATGAGGCAGGAAAACTTTGTCAGACAAATAAATTATGTTAGAGTCTCCCCGGTTCCAGACTGGGGTCCTGAGCATTACACCATCTTTTGCTGTGATGTGTTACCTCAATCGAAGTCAACTCAGCCTCTTCACATAGTCACTTCCTAGTGAAGGAGAGAGCATCTTCCCATATGCTGCAGGAAAAGGTCTGTGCTTCTGGCCAGAAGCTGCTAATGTCCTAAAAGGAAAAAAAATTGCTTTTACCTTAGCCCAAGGTTTTCATGAGGGTCCTTCCTCATTGCATTATCTTCCTCAGGAAACACTGAGTATTTTGTCTCAGGTCTGTTATGACAGTATTGGTTCAATGGTTTTAAAAGTGTAGGATAAAACCAGAAACAATTGTAATAAATATTTCATCCCCATCTTCCATGTTTTTTTTTTTTTGGGTTGAAAACATTCCAAAATGCTTCAGTGTGTTTCCAGCATGCTATTCCCAAGCATCAACCTGAATCCCAATAAACAACACTGACTTGGTTATGTTTTTTCAGAAAAAATCATTCTGACTGCACAGCTAATCTCTTTGAAATGCTTTACAGTAAAAAAAAAAAAAAATTGAAAATAAAGTTTGGGGAGAAGTCAGTGATGCATTTGGCATTGGTTTCCCACAGATGTGAACGAATGTACCAGTGAAAACCCTTGCACTCAGACCTGCGTCAATACGTATGGCTCTTTCCTCTGCCGCTGTGAACCTGGCTATGAACTGGAAGCTGACGGAGTTAACTGCAGTGGTAACTGTCTTTATTTACCATTTTGGTTTCTTTACTTGTATTAAGTTTACTTTTTCCAAGGTATTACTTTGTACATACTTTTAAAAAAGTTTTTTGCCTTGATCCATGATTAGCAGCAGGGAAGCTACAACTCATATGATCTTCTTTCCAGCTATAGCACACAGCAAATACCCAGAAAAGCTCAGTGGAGGAGGGCTGCAAATGGTTTTAAAGAAATAAGCTAAACATTCAAAAGCTCCAAGGTAACAGCAAAACATAAGAAAACACTTTGTAATGCTAAACAGGAAGCTTTATTAGAGAAAGCAGATATAGTCCTAGAACATTCTTCCATGATTAATGAAATACTTCATATAAAGCATTTTTCCATTTGTCTGTTGAATGTATGTATCCCTCTTGCTCCTATGGCTGCTCACTTCTGCCTGAAACCTTCCCCAGTTTCTCCTGTATGGCTCTGGCCACACTTCAGAAACAATATATGGTTTCTTAGTACAGCCATTGCTGATCTGTTCAGCACATAGCAGAATAATTGTGCTTATGTCACTAGTTTTTCCTCTCTTGTTTTTGTTTTTATCTTATCATTTTAATTGAAGGCAAAACTTATTTATTTGCTTAATGTTCCTACAACCTGATAAAATTACAGAATTCAGCCAATATTGCCTGGAAGGAAAAATGCACTGGAAAATACTTATATTTTATGTTACAGTAAACAGATGTAACATACTGTTTCAGAGAGAGAAGACGTGTGAGATGCAGTGTGTGTACAGATTAGAGTTTCCCAAGATGTTTTTCCTTGCAAAACTCTTTATTATGAGGGAAAGAGCAAAGACCCTTTAAAGGGTCTTAAGCATTTAACATTTATACTGCAAGACCTAACCTGAGTTTTCTGCTTTCTAATGGAATTTCTTCTTCTAAGTTAGACTCCTGCACCTTTTTATGTGCTCACCTCCTGAGCTACTTGGAGGCCTGAATGAGATAAGTTTATTCCAATGCCATGGAAGGTGGTGCTTGCTCATCCATGTCTGAGCTAAGCCAGCAAAAGGAACTCTCCACCACCCAGATTTAAAGCAGAAAATCTTTTTCTGACAATCCTATGCAAGAAAATGTTTGTCAGAGCAGGTCAAATTTCTCTGGATGAGCTTCCTTCAAACAGTCGCTAGACACCTCTGAGGCTTGCAAAGGGAACGCCTTGTTAGGAGAACACTCCTATGAGACAGGACTCAGATGTACTTCAACAGGAGCTGGATTAGTCCATGGCCTAGCAGCCAACTTAGCCTGAAGATGGAAGGCATCCCTGCCCCACTTCAAGGAGACAGGAAGAGATTTCAACCTGGCTTTCCTGACATTGTTTTCTAATCACAGAGGTCTTCCAAGTGCATTAGATGTGCTCTGAAATGCCTTCCATCTTGTTGTCTGCACATAGTCAACAGAAGGCCAGAAGTGTTTAGGAACTCTGTGGGCTCAGCAGCAGGAACGTGGGACCCTTGGGGCTCTAAGTCCCTCAGCACTTGACAGCAGCTGGGCACTGGTCATACAAATCCAATGTGCTTGAGGTCTGGGCTAGGATGCCTTGAGGGGGTGAGTGATATCTCAGTCACTTAATGGAATCAGCCCTCAAGTCCGTATTTTGTCAGGAAGATATTTATTTCAATAAACTCACTGGGGAAACCTGCACAATAAAAGGACTATATATCTGTAGGCTTCTTTTTATCTTCCTTTTGATAATGCGATTTCAGCCATAAAGCCATTTTAACATATTTGGACTTCAAATACTTTCCAATCCCTCTGCACAAACCACCAGAAGTGGATAAATGGACTGAGCCCAATTTAGAAAAAAGGGAAATTCAATCTGAGGAGTAAAAGTGATTTGCCTGGAAGAGTCAACATGTCAGAACTGGGAATAAGAACTTGGGAGTTCCTGGCTGGGTCTCTGGCCTTTGTTTCTTTCTTCCCTGAACAGGGAAATAAGGAAATGATTAATGGCAGCCTCCCTCAGTCTAGCGCCTTCACATGTGTTCTCCCCTCAGTCAGCCATGCCTCCACGTGCAGCTCTGAAGTCTGTCTTTCTCACTTGAGCACAGTTCTGCAGAACACAATGACTGGTCGGTTCACGAGTGCAAGGGGAAAAGAGCACGATTTTTGCTTTCAGTGAGAGATTTGAAAGACTGCTCAGTTTCCTGGGAGATGGCTGGGCCTTCCAGTAGGTCTGACCCAGACTGGGATGAGCTCTGAAGTCTTGCTGGAATGACTTGGAAGCAACTGACTAGAGGCTAAAAAACATAAAACAGACGGGGCTGGCTGCAGGAGTTCTGCTGGGACCCATGTGGCCCTGGGAAAGGGAAGCTCGCTCTTCAATAAAAAGGGGAAAAAAAAAAAGAAAACTACTGCCAAGTCTTTCCTTTCAAATTACAGTTGCAGCTTTGTTGTTGGAGTATCTCTATCTCTGACGTAAAACAGAACTGAAAACATGGCCAACTGGTGACAGGTATTAGAAAAGAAAAATAAATAAATAAAAGCCATGCATTGTGTTCAGCTGCAGCTTTGGTTTTCCTAGGAAAAAACTGTTTAAGCAAGAACTCATTGTACAGCATTTTGCCACGTTACTGCAGAGCTCTAGGGAGCTGGAGGGTGCCAACCTCCAGCTGGGGTGATGGGCAGGTAGCCTGGATGGCCACCTGCCTGTGGGACTCCCTTTTGACAGCAAAGCCAAAGACACTAAATTTTGTTTTACCACTGCAGACATGGACGAATGCAGCTTCTCAGAGTTCCTCTGCCAGCACGAATGTGTGAATGGACCTGGTTCTTACTACTGTATCTGTCCTTCGGGCTATAACTTGCTTGACGATAGTAGAAGCTGCCAAGGTAAGAACATTCCTGCACTGTTTAAAACCTGAGGGGACCACAAAATAGATCCTGTGCCTAGAAAGAGATTTTCAAGAACTGAGATGCTTGGTCTTGGCATTGTGCAGTGAAATACTCATAAGGGCCAATTATGTAACTCTGGTAAGAATGTCATCACGTGAATAGTCCCACTGAGGTGAACTGGTGTGTTGTTTTAAGCAAGACTTTATTGACTAGGAAAGAGCTACACAGGAAAGACCTCAAATGCTCTCTCTGCTTCACGTCTCTATTCTTGCCATTCTCTAAGGTCAGAAAGCTTGAGCAGCCAACTCCTTTCCATTTTTTTTTTTTTTTTTTTTTGCAGCACTTAGCATATGGGAACACTCCAATAAGCATAAATGAATGGAGTAAAAACTGATCATTAAAGAGGAGACAATTATAGAAAGGCCACTTCTCACGGTGCAAGGGTTTTATTAATTTTGGGGCAATTCCTTAAGATGAAAACAGGTTTGTTGGAGTGGTGTCTTGTACATATTTCTCTGCTTTAGCCTTTCTCTTTCTCCTTGTGTTTTAGATATCAATGAATGTGAAACTAGAAACTTCACCTGCACTGCGCAGCAAACGTGTTTCAATATCCCAGGAGAATATAAATGTTTAGACCCAGTACGATGCGAGGATCCTTATCTCCAGATTAATGAGAAGTGAGTAACATACCCACAGCCACAAAAGCAACTTCTATCTGTGAGAGTCATATCTATAATAAACCAAATGAGATCTAATATTACGACACAGCCGTGAAGTCTGTCTAGAGAGCTGTACATACATGCTGTTGCTGCATTTATCACCAGTAAGCTTTATAAAAATAATAAATTGCAATTCCTTACCAAGTGACCAGGTGGGATATGATAGGATATCACGCTCAGATGTGTGGGAAGTTAGACTGGAAAAAGAATTATCAGTTAGTAGAGAAAACAGCAAGGTTTGTGATGCAATAAGAGACATTTACTTACATTACTAACTGACTTCACATATGCTCAAATGAAGCCTGTTTATTAGTATGAGTATTTCCTGTAAACGGTAACTAGCTTATGCCTGGGAAGCACTTTAAAACAGTAGATGATCGTTATAGCAGGATGCAAGTAGTTTCCTACTGCTAAAGGTTAAAAGTTCCAAATAATTCACAGACTGATCTCCCTTGTCTAGAAATTGGATATGTCTGGATGGGGCTGTTAGCATTGTTACTATCTCAATTGGGAATTATTTGAGCAAGTAAAAAATAAATCCCACATTTCTAAAAAGTGCCTGTTTCTTCTACATTTTTGTAGGTATTTGCCTGGGATTCAAAATATTTCAGTTTCAGGTTGATCTCTCTATATTGCAGTCCTTTTTATTTCATCCATAGTGTTTGCACCAAATCCAAGTGTTTGCTTGGTAGTCTAATGTATTTCATAGAAAGGCAAGAGAGGAAGAATTAGTTTCTTTCCATTATAATTTATTCATATATTTACACTGCTTTCTGAACTAGGGCAGCTGAAGAGTGGATACACAGTGTTTATCCAGTTCCAGGCTTACCTACCTTCAGGTAGAGGTGGGCTTAGACTGGAATTTGAAATATCTGAAGCCTCTGTATCTACATTCCCTAGAGCCCAACTATAGAGTCCTCTCAGAGCAGCTTGCAAAACTCTTGGTCTATGAGCTTTGTGTTTGGTGGCTTTGTCTCATGGCTAGATGGACTGCATTTAATTTGTAGCATATGTCTAGAAGCAGACAGGATAAAAGCCAAGTGAATTCCTTGCATCTATGTTTTCTGTGGAAGGAACTGGGTGTTTGCAATGCCAGAAGCCTCTTGATGGGGGCCATGCCAGATGAACTGACTGAAATTGGTGTCAGTAGTGGAGGTTTATAGAAAAAACAGTCAGAAAGACCCTTGTCCAGTAAATTCCCCAACATGGCTTTTATAAAGGGACATTCTGCCTCACAACTTTATTAAGTTCTCTGAAGAAATCAGCAGCATGTGGCTATGGCACATGGACTGATGCAGCCTCTGGGTTTCCAGAGGCTTCTGAAAAGACCCTCACATAGTTATTATGGAAATTAAGCAGCCATAAGTAACAGAGAGTAGTCCCTGGAACAGAAGAATAAGAGGCTGAAAGATAAAAAATAAATAGAGGACAGTATTAAATTGTCAAATTGCACACTGAAGTTCTGCTTCAGAGGTCTAAGCTGGACTTACCTGATCCATCATAAGCAACCTGGGAAAAAGAATAAACCATGAGATGGTCAAAGTCAGCAACAGTACCTGAAGACAGTAGATAAAAGAGCGAGTAGAAATAAATTGCAGAATAAGCCTTGATGACTGCAATAAAAATGGCAGATGAAATTCAGTGTAGATGATCGTAAAATAAAAAGACAAGCCCAAATTCACAATTTCAGTAAAGAGCACTGATATGATCATAATCCATCCAAACTGAGATTTGAGGGTTATTCTAGTTCCGTGATCTGCAGTATTCACTAGAGATCAGAAAAGCAACCTGAATTTGAGGTGTTGGTCTGTAGGGAATAGCCTTGGGGCATATGCCATTGTGTACCACATCTTTGAGACTGTGCAGTTCCTTCCCCTCCTCTCAAAAGAAATATAACTGGACAAAGGTTCGTAAGGAGCAATGAGGATGATCAAAAGTACGGAATAGCTTCCTTTTGAGAAATGACTAAGTTAGGACACTTCAGCTATGAAAAGGAACAAATATGAGTTCCTGAATTGTATGAAGAGGAGGAGCAGGGATTGACTGGCTGCACTCCTTTCAAATAGAAGAGCTGGGAGCGTAAGATAAAGAGAGATGAAGGGGACTGTGGAGCTCCTCGCCGCAGGGGGCTGTGGATGCCAGACAGACATGTGGGTGTAAGGGAAAGCTGGAGAAGCTGATAGATAAGAAATGTATGAAGAGCTGACGAATACAAAGAAGATATCTTTGCTTCAAGAATTCCCCGAGTCACAAACAATTGGAGGCTGTTGGTGGAAGTGTCGTACGCTTGGCTTGTTATCCTCTTCTTCCTTAAAGGTCTACATTTGGTGTTATAGCTTTGGTTTGATCCAAGATGTCTCGCTGTATGTTTTCATGCAGTATACAAAATATTTTTAAACAAAGAGCACTACATTTAGGTAACTTTATCAGTGAAATGATCCATTAATTAACATTATTTTGAGGACAGTTCAGTTTAAATTACTATCAGAACAAATATGTACTGAGTATTCTACACCTGCAGAACTGCTCCACAGAAAGTACAGATTTTTGAGTGATCTAAGGAGATAAAGAATGCCAAGGTATTTTGGCCTAGAAGACAAGAAAAAGAAAGCAGTGATACAAGTAGGCCAGAATAGCAACACAGAGAATATTAAAAGTGAGAAAGCTTATTGCAAGTTTCATTGATTCTTTTAGCTGGTCAACAACATTCTTTATTTATTTATTTATGCATCTGTATTTGCATATAAAGAATCAAATATTACAGAGATTTGTAACCCCTAATGTCAATTCTATCTCTGACAATCAGCCGCTGCATGTGTCCAGCTGAAAACCCCGGTTGCAGAGATCAGCCGTTCACCATCCTGTACAGAGTGATGGACATGGTGTCTGGGAGGTCTGTGCCTTCAGACATTTTTCAGATGCAAGCAACAACTCGCTATCCTGGAGCCTATTACATCTTCCAAATCAAATCAGGGAACGAGGGCAGAGAATTCTACATGCGGGTAAGTCTAGCGCTCACTGAGGGAAAACATGGAATATCTTCTCTACAGCTGAATGTCCTGACAGCAGAACTCAGCTTTTAATGAATATCACTTAGTCAGTATGAGGCGTTTTTACACACAGATGTGCAGACCAGTGTGCTGATCCAAGGAACTGCTGGATCTCTCAGGAAAGTAACCTACCCAAAGCAAACACACTTCTCCTATGACACAGTAGGTTTAGGAAAGTCCAGGGTTTTACCCATGTCTAAGAATAGCTTAGGTCTCCCATGCTCAAGAGAAACTATTGTGCCAAACTGTTTTTTATTTGACGGACAATCAGTAATTGTCACCAAAAGATTCAATGTGTCTTGTCTGTTTTATTCATTGGAAATTGAAAATTGTGAAAAACAAAAAAGTAAGCAAAAACGCCACCCCTTTATGCCAGGAATTGATTTTCTGGGTTCCTTGCTTTAATGTGTTATCCATTTTTTTCACTGAGAACACACATTTTATGTAGACACTGTTAGAGGAAACGTAACTACGTGGGTTTTTTTAATCTGAGTTTTCCTCAGAAGACCTCTCTGTTCCCCAGTCATCCTTACCATGCCAGTGACAATGCAAGGGTGATGAGGGTGTCTGCACAGAAGGGGGCCCCTCCATGAGGGGTGGTGACACTGAGGAGGTTGATTCTTGGCTGTAAGCAAAACCTGGCTCTGACATTCGCATAAAGTCATGTTCAGTGACTACTGACAGTTCCCCTCCCTCATGGACAGTAGTGGGATAGATTCCAGGACACGTTCCTCACAAAAGCCTCAGATTCCCACTGTAAGAAAAGGAAAAAGCTTCAAAACCATGAATTGACAAGTGGTCCTGTTACGATCTCTTACATCTCACAAGAGCTTTCCTGTTGCAAAGTTCCACTCACATTTTCCTCTCACCTGGGCCAGTCCACCAGGCACTGAGGCCCCAGAGCCCATCACCATTGCCCCAGCTTGCTGGTTCTGTTGATTTACCACACAGCCACTTGGGGTGGTGGGCAAGCAGAGCTGGGAGGGAGGGACACCGTGTCCCACACTGAGGCACCAGGATCAGGCCCAGCCCCGGGCAGCCCACCCGGCACCTCCTGATGGCTATGTCAGCCTGCTCTGATCAAAGGGAACACAAATGCCCAGTTTCAAGGTAAAATAAGACCCACTTTGTCTGCATAAATTTCTGATTTTAATGTCAGCAGCTCTGATTTTTAAATGCATGTAATCCACTTTTCTGGCCAGACTGGTTTTGGGAAGTGCCGTCACATATTCAAAGCTCTCTTCGGAGGGTGAGGTTTGTGCCATTAACACACACAACATACCACAAGTCTGGACACTGTTCCCATGGGAACGTCTGTTCTCCAAGGTCTGTTAACATAACCCCTTCTCAGTGTTCACTGCTTCACAGTAATGCTGTCCTTTACGTCAAACTAAAGAGTATCTCACAAAAACAAACAAACTAACAAAAGGTGACACTACTTGTTTACACCCTAAATCCATGTTTTCATCTTTCTCCATTTGGGCAATAGTGTCTACATTCAATAGCTCTTTTTATGTGCAGGATTCCCAAAGGCTTTACAAACTGTAGAAAGTGATAGTTCATAAAAACCCTGAAAAGGAGCCAAATGCTGAAATGAAGCTCTGTCCTATCAGTTGCAGTGGTTTCAAACAACGCAACAGAAAACACCTTCTTTGGCTGCTTGAAGACCATAGTGAGAGAGTAGTTTTCAAGAGCTGGTTTTGGCAATCTCACCTGCTTTCTCTTGTTTTGTGCACAGCAAACAGGACCGATCAGTGCTACTCTGGTGATGACCCGTCCCGTGAAGGGGCCCCGTACTGTTGAGTTGGACTTGGAAATGATCACTGTTAACACCGTCATCAACTTCAGAGGAAGCTCTGTCATCCGGCTGAGGATATTCGTATCACAGTACTCCTTCTAAACCTTGAGTTTGTGCCCTGGAAACATTAAACCAAAAGAGACAGTTCCTCCTCTGCAGAACTCTCTCCTCAAAAGCCAGTACATATAGCAGCTCCAAACAAAATCACTATTTCTACAGACCCGGTGACCTATGCCTGTCTGAGCAGGGAGGCCTCTTCATGCACAGTCCCTACCAGGATGCAAACATCTGAAGATGTATTGTCAGCAGATCCCATGTGATTCTCTATGTGGTCATGTATTTTAAGGACTCTTCTTTTTGCTGTAAACACTTCTAGGGCATAAGTCTATGTGAAAGACTGTGAACCTTTGTAGCTCCAAGGCTGCTTAGCAAAAAGCACCAAAGAAACTGAGGAAAAAGCTGGCTTTTGCAATCTTGCTTTTTTTTTTTTTTTTCATTATAAATGGAAAGCAGAAAAACAAGCAGAAACAGAAACAAAATCCCCACCTATCAAAACAAGGGATGTCCGGAGTCCTAACTTGCATTCCCAATTATCTCTGGAATTAACAGTCAGGCACTTTGTCTCAATTCACCCTGCATTTGTCTTAGATTCACCCGTTTTTTCTTTGATTCTATTTTATAGTTAAAATTCATTCTAAATTCATTCCAAAATACATGTTGTACTATGTAATCTTTTACTTTCTTACAAAGTGTCACATGTTTGGGTTCCTTCCTCTATTAAATCTTTCTATATAACAGAGTTCACAGAAATCTATCACTGGATGGTGTGTTTCACAACATTTAGGATTGTATACTTATTTGCACTCAAGACCTTTGACACAGGCTTCCACTGCCAGAATAATTTCCAGAATGATTTCCAGTAGGGACTTTGGAGCAGAAAAGAATCAGAATTTTATTTTTCCCTAAGTGTGATAGTTACAAACAGTTTCTAATGGCTACCAGGTCGTAATACTATCTCTGTAGTTATAGCTGCAACTAATCTCCTGTTCAAAGACCACTCAGGTCAGACCTGTCCAAATTCCTTCAGAAAAAAATGAATTGTTCTTTTCACCTGCAGTGTCTCTTCTATATTCCTAACACTGGGGAAAACAAGCTGAAAAGGACTAGGACCTTTATCATTTATGCTTCTACCACAAAGCAGCAATACCCCAATCTCAAGCAACGGGATCCCACAGTCTGCACAGGCATTGTTTTCTCAGGTATAACTGCTGTAACCAATATAAAGTTTCTCCTGAAGTCCAATCTGAATCTCCAATAATCTGTTGCTTTTTAGTCTACTTCCACTAGAAATAGAGAACAGTTTATCTTCCCCTTTGCAGCAGTCTTTAACGTGTCTGAAGACTGTTGTCATGTCTCCCCTCAGATTGTTCTTCTCTAGTCTAAACAAACCCAATTCTTTTGGTCTTTCCTCATACATCACATTTTCTGGACCTTTGATCATTCTTGTTGCTCTCATTTGGATTCTCTCCAGTTGGTTCACATCTTTCTTGAAGCACAGTGCCCAAAACTGTTAAAAGTATTCCAGCTGAGGCCTCTCAGTGCTAAGCCAAATCTCTATATATGTTTAGTAGTTTGAAAAAAAAAATTAAAAATTGTATAGTTTGAAGATACAAGCCATTGGCACTTTGTTCTTTTATTTTAGTCTGGATGAGGGCCCCTATGCCTTGTTCTTAAATTTGTCTAAATCGAGCTCTTTTGCTTTGGTTTTTCTTACTGGCTTATTTGCTCTCCAGCATTGCTAGGGCCAGAAAGATAACATTTCCTTCGTCTTTTTGAGGACTGGAAGTGCTCAGTGCTACTTGGGAGAAGGAGTTTATGAAGATTATAATGTGAGCAGGCAGGAGCAGAGTAGCAGCTTTATGTTAGGTCTTCATTAAAGTGGAGTATTAAATGGGAGAATACAGACTTGGAAAGTTATCACAACACAGACTGCATGACACAATCAGAAAATTGATTTTTGTTCCTAGAAAGCTTTGTGAATTAGTCTGAAGTTGTTTTTCCTTAGCTGTAGTAGAGAGTCTGCTCTTTTTCCTTGTCCTCAGCTTGAAGGAAGCCCTGATGCTTTCAGCAGTGAAATGCTGAGTTGAGCAGCTTCTGTTTCTTAATGGTTTAAAGGTTTTCTCTGTGCTGCTACAACATCCCAGGATGCTGCAGCTCAGAGCTCTGTACAAGGTTGTCCTTTATTGTAAATACAAAAAAGCTGGAGTCTGACTTCAGAGTTTAGTGGGCCAAGCTGAGGGCGGGAAGCCAATGAGTTTTGTGAGTAGCTGACTTGGAGGAGATGAATGCAAAGGAAACGAGCAGAGAAACAGTAGAAACAAGAATTTGTTTCCTGAGTGTATCATGTCTCATCAAATACCACAGTCTTGGCGGGAAAAACAGAGATGATCAGGAAGGAGGAATGCTAGTTTATAACCATTGGTCTAAAAGTGCTCATGTGTCCCAGATGATGGAAGTAAAACATAGGAAACATGCAGGCTCTGGTGGACCAGAGAGCAGACAAGGGGCAGGCAGGATCTTGCACTGAAGATGTCAAACTCTGAAGTTTTCCTGGTGCTTAAAAGCCTCTTTTTGCCCCCCTTTGTGTCCCTATGTTATGACTTCTTCATGCCCAGCTGAGAAGGCCTTTTCTTCCTATCATCACATCACCTCCTGGAGAGGAAGCCCTGTTAGACATTAGACAGTTTCTCACTTCTGGGCTGTTCTCCCATGGCCCCCACATACCAACCTGATTTAACCCTCATTTAGAAACATCAAAACTCAGAGGAATTCCATAACAAAACACTTTGTTAAAAGAGTAAAGCTCAAATGCTTGGTTTTAGCAGGGTCCAGCAAATACCCATAAAACAATATTACACTTTCTGTATAAACAGTCTGCGCCCTAAAAAAAAAAGTGAAAAGTCTGGAAACAAAGGAATTCAGCCACTTCTCAACTGCCATAACATCTTTCATCACTCGCTATCACTCCAGCCAACTTAAACTTTGCCAAAATATATGCCAATCTCAAAATAATAAATTACTAACAGTTTATAACATCTAAACTCTCCATTTCCTAGTCAGGGCTCTGTTTCCAATAGCCCATTGCAGGCTCATATATTACAGCCATTCTCACCAAATAAAAACAGGGACTACGCATGCCCAGTTTTTACAGCACGAAAGTTAAAAATGCAAACTTGCAACTGCTGCATATATTCATGTTCTCCTTTGAGGACAGGACTACCTAAAAGCAGACAGAATTCCAGGCCAGCTCAGAAAATGGTTCTTTATTCTAACCCACTACAGAGGGTCTTCAACACAAGGAGTTTTACCATATGGTTAATAGACAGTATTCTGGCCACACAGATGAGGTCACAGACCCTGGTCAGGGTATGTGTAGCTTCCCTCTGGCTCTGCTCGCCCTGGCCAAGCAGGGAAGGGACAGCTCTTTGCCTCTCCTGCCTGTCAGCTGTCATGTCTGTTTAAATGTAGGTCCTCAGGAGGAAGACTGCCCCTCACTGTGTATTTGTACAGCATCTAATGTCAGTGCAATAATGGGAATAAAGGTAAAAGAAAGCAGTAATGGCAGTAATCTTTGCTAGAGATCACCATAATTTGGAAGGAGAAACTATTCTGACAAATGAGCCAAGTGATTCATGCTAGTCGGCTTAGGTGCCAGAGGGAGAAAAATGGCAGGAGATGAATGATCCAGTGTTATAGAGCTGAACAGATCCTATCATCTGGCTTACTTAGCTTTGAGATATTTTTATTTAGACTTTTTTGACACAGACAACAAAATGTTATTTCACTTAAGAGTTTGCTGGATCCCACAGAATCGCTTTTTAACTGCTGATTCTCTGACTACAATACCTTTGCTGAAAATAACTAAGCTTCTTTGAGGACTGGTCACCCACCACTACTGAGTGTAGTGCCCAGGGTCGTTCACACAGAGCTCTCTCCTTTTCAGCTGGGGACCTGTACTCATATTTACCTTTTTTTGACTTCACTTTTAGAAGAGACAAATTCTTTTGTCTCATAAATATGGTATCAGCATCAGCAGAACTCACACATTAATTTTTCTCTGTCTAGAGCAAGCAGAGCAATATAATCAGTACATTTTGTGGTCATGCAAGTTCTCCAGTCTGGCTTATTCACAGAACATGCTACTGAATATCTTCTGTAGCATGTAGCTGTATTAGAACACAATGGAAATGTTGTAGCACAAAGATGTTTAAAAAAAAAAAAAAAAAAAAAAAAAAAAAAAAAAAAAAAAAAAAAGAATAAAAGTATGCTTTAATGTTATTCAAACCTGACAGGCATTGTTGTTAAAATAAATCTCTATCCTGGGTGGACAAATCCCTCAGCTGGTGTTAATCTGCATGACTGATGCTCTTCAATGCAGAGATAATAAGTGTCCTTAGACTCTTCAATGTGTGTTGTGTAAAGCACTGCACCTGTATCTGCATACAAGGAGAATTTACAAAAACTGCAGAAGTGGTAGTGTGGTTCTGCATTTGGAAGTCAAAGAGGCGTAAGAAAACATGGTACAAGCAAATTCTGTTTCCTTATCTGACACGAGTGCAGACAAGTGATTTACACCCATCACATCTTGTTGTTTTAAGTCTTTGAACCAATTTTGAGTAGCTCAACCCCAAAGCAGGTGCCACGCATGAAGACTGAGGCCGATGCTCACAACTAGACTTTTGCAGATTCCGCAGGAAGCTCCAGAAAGGTGACATGTGCTGAAGGGTCAGTGCCACGTGGAGTGTAATGCTCCAGAGGTATTTGTGTGGGAATGTCTGTGATACTTCCCCGGCCTCTTTCCTCACCTGTTTCAGTGCAGACTGCAACTGATGTTTGTAAGTGTGCACACTGGGTATGGAAATCTCACCTATTCCCATTCTTAGTTCAGTCTTCTGAGATCCCTCTAGTGGTTTGCATTGGCCAAACTGATTCTCCTGTGTCACTCAACTAATACTGGTGAACCCACATGAGGGAGAGTTTGGGTACAAGGCAGATGCACTTTTACACCAGCGAGTAAATAATGATGCAGTAACCTCAATGTAGGAATTAAGGAATGCATGTGAGTAACAAAGGGATCTTTAGGAAACACTTCAGCAACCAAGAACTCCTGAAATATTCAGTCTCTTTCAGTTCCCTTTCCTGTACCCAGAAGTCACTCATTTTCCCTCTGGGGTTTGTCCTGGATAAATGAGCTTATTATGGTCATGCACTGCAAATACATGCTGAGTAAGCTCCACTTCTCTAGCACTGCTAAACATTTTGCAGTTTGCTTTTTGGAGATCAGTTGTGGGCTATTAGTCTTTCCTAGGGTCTGACTGACTTCGGTTGCTTTTCTCACAGCCAAGACAGATCCATTCTTTCCCAGTCAGGTTCTTCTATACCCATCACCTGTACAAGCTCTTCATGTGTTTCACTGGAGATGCAGGCACTGCTATGCTGGTAGGCACCCTTACAGCAAAGTATTGGGTGTGAATGGCTGAAGGGATTGCCCAGCCTGCTGGCACAGCCTGGCTTCATGAATAGGATTTTAAAAAAAACACAACTCCTCAGTTTTGAAAGTGAGAGATGTTCTTTTAGGTCCTGCCTGATTAGTCACTTTTATCCCAAAATTGCATTTGTATCATGTTGGCCTGATAGTCTCAAGGTTTTTTAAGAAGTCTGATAAGGACATGCTTATGCAATACATCCATAGGCTTTACATGACTTGGATGAGGTTTTTCCAATTTCCAAAAACAATATTTGGCCCCAGTCAGAGAGACTTCAATGTGATCATCACTATGCTGAAGTCAGTGATCACTAAACACCCCACATCAGGTCTGGATTTAGGCCAGCTTTATTTTAAATCTCAACTCTCAGTGTCAGTGGTATAAATGTAAGCAGATATGTATTATTTTTACAGTAGAGCTGAAAGATTGTTTCCAGTAAATAAACAGTAGCATGATTGCAGTATCTCTTTCTCTTTGGGCACTATCTTTGGGTACTTGGAGATCTCCTGAGATAACCTTTTACATTTCAGTATTTCCTCTGGTATTTCAAGACATTCACTGATGTGTTTCCATGAATTATTTCTCACTCTTGTTCTTCAAAGACCAACCCAGGCACTTGGCTTTGTTTTTTGTTAAAACATGAAGCTACACCCAAGCCCTTGCATAGTCACAGCTCACACATCACTCACAGAAATTGTTCCTCTCTATAACCTATCGGGGATTATGTCAACTTCCTTGGGATTCTGCAGCTTTCTGAGTAATGCACGTGCATGTGTTTGTCAAAACTGAGACCTTAGTCTGGAGATTCTTCATCAGCAACTTGCTGCAAATGTTCTGCAACCAACATGTGAAATCATAGCTACAAAGATTAGGTTTGCCAAAAATTCTCAAAACATGGTGTTTCTTGGCTGCCTACACGTAATGCAAACACAATTTGAAAATCCAGGACCAGTCTTCCCCAGTATTCATGAGAAATTCCTGGTTTTAAGAAACATTTTGGCCAGTAAACTAATTTTGTAGATTATGTGAAATGCAAAGAGGTAGAAGTCCCACCAAGATTATATAGATTTGTTATTCAAATCAGTATCCCCAAGAAAACTTGAATCCAGTTCATCATTTAAAAATACTTCTTTGTATTCTGACGTCTGATGCCATTCAAGCAGGGCAGGGGGACAGAAAAATCAACTGCTTCCAAAACAACAGCAGCTGCTCAACAGAGATCTCTGAGCTCCTGCAGCGACCAGAAATACCTGTTAGACCAAGTCTGCACCCCATATCAGTGAGGAAGGCACAGGGCCCGGAGAGACATTTCTCACTGTGCTTATACATCTATGGAACACTTAAAATGAGCGAAATTAAAAGGACCAAGCTGTTGCCTATCACACACATAGTACCTGCAGCTTTAATGTATCTCTCTGCCGCTCCCCAGGGTTGTGCTCACTTAAAATTACCCAGTCTGATTTGGTGTGAGTTGACAATAGTGTGACAGCATTCAGTTCACAGCAATGTAAAGTCACACCCATGGATGAAAAAAGAGAATTATAGAGCGATAAAAAAACTACAATTGAACCAGAAATGTAACAAAAAAGAGCTTGCTGATTAGTTAACCTTCAGTGCTTTGGTTATGATACCATTGCCATGGGCAAAAGTAATCAACCTGAAACACAAAATATTTAAAAGGAGATTATGTCCTTAGAAAGATAAGTGTCTACATAGCCTATAAATAGCTCTGAAATAAGGACATCCCACGCAACATCTGGAAAAGAGAGAATTCACTCCTTGACCTCCAGCCTCACTGTCTCCTAAGGCAGGATCAAGGGTTGATCCTTATTATGATACAGACACAATGGCTGTTTGACGGTCCAGCCAAGAAAGAGGCAGGCACAGCCAGGGGCAAGGGGAGGACACACCAAGATAATGTAAAATACTAAGGAACGCTCTCCCTGTGCAGGATCTATGAGACAAATCTCTCCTGCTGTATGAAGCAGTTCAGCTTTGCTTAGGAAATGCTAGCAGACACTTCAATAAAAATAGGGGGGCATTCATGTGTTTGAATGCAGCATCACTTTTAAAAAAAATGATGCCCTGGTCAGTCTGTTACCTAATGAGATGCACTGGACCCAGAAACCTATAAATACAATTTTAGGTATAGAACATATAGTATCACAGGTATAGCTGTTGTTATACCAACAGTTTATCCTGCAGTCAGTACAGGTGCAAGGAGGAGAACTCACTGCCCAGCTCAAAGGATGCTCCACAGAACTTCTGTTTCTGCTTAAACAGTCATTTCCCTAACTCTTACTTGCAGGCTGTCTGGATTAATAATTATGTTATATTTTGTAATTCTCTTTTTTTGTTGTTGTTGTTTTTGAAGAGTAGTGTTTTTACTTAATTTAAAATGGTTTCAATGTCCCTCATCTGCCCCTTTAACCTATAACCATTACTTCATTTGTAGCAGAAAATGCGCTTTAAATTCTTGCACCTTTACAGCTTGTGAACAATATACCTTGAATATGCCAGTAGGGACTATTTTAAAGCTTTTTAAAAAATAAATATGTTGCTAACAAAATTTATAATTGAATTCTACCTTAT